CTTACCATGACATAGTAGTTGCTATTCACCATGATGGGGCTCCGGCCTCGAAGGTAGATGTATTCTTCCCACCAGTCACTCACCTATAGCAGAAGGGGAGATCAGAACTGCTGAGAAGGCTAGAGCCAGGTGGGGAGGTCAGAGTTGGGTGAGAGGAGGGGAGGAGGGGAAGGTCAGAGCTAAGTGGGGAGGAGGGGAGATGGTGAGAAGGTCGGAGCCGGGCAGAGCGGGGTGGGGCGGGCAGGGCGGGGGGGAGGAGGGAACGGCTCTAGAGCAGGGGGAAGGAGGAGGGGGAGCACTCACGTAGTTGGTTGCCCACCAGGACTTGAGCACCAGGTACTTCTGGAGCCGGGGAGCAGTCTTCTCTTGGAATTCTTTAGCCAGCACCTCCATTCGGTAATATTCCTCATCATCTAACAAGGGCCTCACAGATTCCAGGTACTGCCCCCCACCCCCCCAAGCTCTCGTCAGGGCTGGGTCTTGTCTCCACGCCAGGCCTTGCCGTCTCTGAGACTGGTCAGGGGCTGGAGGCACTGGCCCTGCCCTCTAGCCAAGCCGCTCCCTTCCCCCACAGACAACCTCAGCAGCCTGTCCGGGCCCCTCACCCGCTTGACTGTGGCTGCCACTTTGGGCACCGGTAACTTGGGCAAAGAAGTCTGGAAGCTGTAGAGCATAGGTCGGCGATTGGACAGGAGCCGGACGCAGATCTGAGGGGTATGAGAGGATTACGGGGTTGGGGGCTCCCCAGTCCTCTGGATTCCAGGCCAGGAGTGAAACCAAAGGGCTTTGGGGCAGTGGGGCCCGAGGGCTGAGATTCTTTGGGCGACCTCCCCCTGGGCCTCCCTTCCCCTTGTGCCTTCTCCTCCCGACTCCCCAACCCCAGCCCAGGCCAGGCCCTGCTCACAGCCCAGATCTTGGTGAGCCGGCTGGTCCGGCCATGCAACTCAAACATCCAGCCATGGTAGGTGAGCAGCATTTTCAGGGTCTGGCGAAAAAGGAAGATGCCAGTCACCCAGACTCCGGTGGAGAAGATGCCCACGCTGATGAGCGTTCGGCTCTGCAGGCTCAGGTGAGGTCTGCATCTGTCCAGGGATCGGAAAAAGGAGCTGGGACACGGTGCTGACTCAACGACCTTCTCCAGAGGCTCGCCCCATCTCTGGCCTGCGCCTTCCTTCCCAAACCCACAAGGGCTAGCGTGACCCACAGAGCTCCGCGCCGAGATGCGCGGGTGCCCCAAGACACCAGTCTTCCAGACACGGAGGGAGGCTCCCAAATCTAGGGACGGAGGGCTCTCAGCAGGTCAACTTCCTCATTTAACAGATGAGGAAACTGAGGCCCAGGGGGTGAAGCGACCCAGACAGTAAGTAGCAGCAGCGGGATCTGGCGCCAGAGCGAGGTTCTCTTTCCATGCCCAGCAGCCGCTCTGTCTCCCTGCCCGTTGCCCGCAGCCCCGCCCAAGTCCAGCCTCCAGGCCCGGGGCCTCCTCACCCCTCCGGGATATAGTTCCGGATGCAGCAGACCATCCCCATGGAAATGTCCACATTGCAGTAGGAGGAGCCCATTGTCGCCATGACAACGACCAGCCAGCTGGTGGGGCTGCCAGGATACACGCCCCTGAGGATGCCGTTCTGTGGGGACGGGGCTCTTAAGGACCAGGGAATCACAAGACAGGCCAGTGGAGAGACACTGGGGAGGCAGGAGTGCTGCCCCCAGGTGGCCAGTGTGGGGACCAACGGAGGGGGGCAGTGTGGTGATCTGGGAGCCCGGAAGGAGCGAGGTGGGAGGGGACGAGTGGAGAGTGGCCTTCCCCCTCTTGCCTCCTTTTTTCTGAGGACCCTGGAGCTGAGGAGGAAACATGTGGCAGTCTGGCCCACCTCCCCTGGCCCTGCCTGGGCTCCCACCTTGATGCGGATAAGGCGTTTCTTCCAAGAGTTGATGCCAGACAGGCAGATGTGCTTCAGGGCCTCTCGGCTGAGCCGGACGTCTACCCCTTCAGGGGTCACTGTGAACTGGAAGGCTACGGCCTGGTGGGCTTCTGCCATCTTGAGGGGCAGCTGCGGCCTTTGGGGAACACGAAGGCAAGCCTACCTTTAAGGGGCAGGGGCCAGCACTGTGCGGCTAAGCCGAGGCGAGGCGGCCAGGCGAGGGACAGGGCCCTGCTGAGAAGGACACTAGAGCCTGGGCCCCTGACCACCCTTCCATTGCTTGCTGAATCCTCATCTACTCCCCACTCCTTCAACAAAATGCCCCAGAAAAGCGGCCCAGGGCCTCGTCCTCTTCCCTTTCCCCATCCCTGCCCTTGGTGCTCATCTCCATTCATACAAAAACGGATCCCCTGAGAGATTCACGCCCATTCGAGCACCCTATCTGACCAGCTCCTTTGTTTCGGCTTGGCCCAACAGGCAGCTGACCTCAGAGCCTGTGCTCCTGACCCACCTCTTCTACACACTGGCTGTGGGGTCCTGGGCAAGTCACTTAACTTCTGCTTCTAAGTTGCAGAAAAGGTGCCAGCCTGCATCAGTGGATCAGGGAGTTCCTTATTTCCCAGTGATGTCACAAGTCCAGTCCCTATCAAGCCTAAAACTGAACAAAACCTGCTACTGTGTCCCACCCCCACCCCCTAGGACCCCAAATCTAATCAGCTGCTAAATCCATCCTTTCCACCTTCCAGTACTTTCTCACCATCAGCCCTAGGTGGGGGCCCTCCTATGACTTAATGCCCCACAGGTAGAATCCGGAGAGGGGAGGACAGGGGAGCTCGGGGGAGCCCAGCGACAGAGGCTGGAGAACTTGAGTGGTGTGGGGCTCATCCCAGAGTGTGCCCAGAAGGGGTCGAGGGCACTAGTCCAGCTAGCCATACCTCCATACCTCCAGCCTTCTACCCTTCGAACAGCAATCTTTGCAACCCCTCACTCACTTCATTTCTTCTGCTCCAAAATCTTCAATGGCTCCCACACACTTTACTAAGTACAAAGCCCAGGCAACATTCTGACGACCTTGCAGCTGCAGCTCACCAGTACCTTCGTCCCCTCCTGCCCTACTCTATATGGTTCAGGCAAACTGGCCTTTGGTCATGCTTCCACCCAGTGCCAGGAATGAACTTCCTCACTGCTGGCACCTCTCCTTTCAAGGCCCAACTTCCTTCCCTGGTGCTCCTGGACTAGAGCTCAGCATCCCTGAGGCCACAGTTGCTCCACCATGGGTCCTCCCCCTCTTCACTAGGCTCCAGGACTGCAGGCAGGGCCCCTGACATACCTGTCCCCGTATCCCAGGACTGTACCAAGCCCTGCTCACAGCAGGCACACACAATGAACATTCCTTCGGGAGACTGAAATGAACCCGCTCTTGCAACCTCGGAACCTTTCCAGTATTGAGTTACACGAAGGATAGCAGCCTCCCCTCCCTCCACCCAGCACTCACTTCCAACCTTACAGCTTTGCTGACTCCCCCCGCCCCAATCCAGGGCGTATCAGAAAACCTGGTCCCTGATCCATGACTCCGGCACCCAATCCGGAGCCTCAGATACCCCTCCCCATCTGGGGTCACTGATACCTCTTAGACACCCTTCCTCAAACCAGGTCGTGGGCACATCTGTCCCCAAGATCCTTGGCCCCACCCCAGGATCTCAGACCCCTCGCCCCCATCTCGCCCCTCACCACGGAGCTCGATCCCGGCTCCCGCGGCCGGCCGGCCCGGGCTTGCTGGGCTGGGTTTCGCTTGGCTCGGCTCAGAGGCTGTGGGGCCGCCCTCAGACGCCGGCCCGGCCCTGGTCCCGGCCCCGGCCCCGGCCCCGGCCGGCCGCCCTCCGCCCCATGGCCAGCCCCGAGCCGCCAACGGCCGCCGAGCCTCGAGCCCCTTGCTCGCTCGGTTCCACGGACCCCACGCGAGAGGGCGGGACCACAACGGCCCCACCCACTCATGAGGGCGGGACCACCTCAATGAGTGCCCCCGCCCCGGCCCGATGGGGTGAGGCCAAGAACCAGGGGCGGGGCGTCCCAGAACTAGGAGGAGCTGGGGAGGCACCGAACCCCCGGGGGCACGTGGGGCAGTGGGGCCAGCATGGAACCAGGTCTGCTCACCTGGCGGAACGTGGGGGGCGGGGGAGAGGGAAGGACACCCCACAAGTAGAACCTGGGGAGGGGAGCGCGGGGGAGCCCAGCGGTGGGGGCCGGAGAACGCGAGTGGCGTGGGGCTCATCCCAGATCGCGCACGGAAGGGGTCGAGGGCTCTCCACCGGAGGTCGGCACTAGTCCAGCTCGCCACACCCGGTCCGAATCCCTGGGCATTCCCCTGGGCAGGCGGCCGCCGCCTAGACGTGGTGAGACTTGCCCTTCCGCCCCTCTCCCCAGCCTCGGTACCTCCGCGGGCGCGTGGGCTGCCCCGTACTCACGGCTCGGCCTAGGGGCAGGGGTCCACTCCGGGAAGAGGCCTGGCGGTTCCGGCCTGTGCCCTCGCGTCCTTCAGCGGCCGCCTCCAGCCCCGCCCCACTCCCCACCGGGAATCCGATACCCGCTCCCAAATTGGGGTCTAGAAAATCGCGGGGCGGAGATCGAAGGCTCTCTCCCTCCCCCTCAAGCGGTGGCGCGCGTTTTGGGGCTGTCCGGCGAGCCTGGGCTGCGGGTACTGAAGGTGGCCGGGGAGGCTAGGGGGTGGGGGTGTCTCACGTGAGGGCTGCCACCCAACCTAAAAATAGTCTAATCTGGGGGAAAGGTCGCAGCGTGGGGCCCCTCCCCCCGGCAGACCTGAGGAGGGCACCCAGGCTCTTAGGACCCTAGGGGGGAGGGTCCGTAGGGCTCCAGGACCTCAGGCTCTGGCTAGGAGGGTACCCAGACCTTCAGGACTCCCCACCCCCAGCCCGGCAGGCTCCTCTGCCAGGCAGCCTTAATTAAGGGGGTGCCCAGGCTCTCAGGCCTACACTGTCGGCTCTGGCTCCAGGCCCTCAGCTGTCCACAGCCCCCTCCAAAATCACCCAGCATTTGGAACAGTGGAAGAAGGAGAGATGAGGCCCAGCTGGGCAAGGCCAGCAGCAGGTAGTCTTTATTGGTCTGAAGACAGTGACAGTGGAGAAGTGGCTGCCCTGGCTGGCCAGGGTCCTGTGCCTATCTCCCCACCTGGGGGGGGACTGGACAGTTCTTGTCTAGGTGCCAAGAGAGGCTGGGCTTTCCCACTGCTCCGAGGTCGGCTGATCCTTTGTTTTTGGTCCATTCTCACCAGGGGGACAGCTTGGGCCTTGGATTCCATCCTCCATCTCCATCCTGTCCCTTAGATGCCAGTGTCCACTAGGGGAGTGACTCAGGGAGGTGAAGGGCTGTTAGGAAGGGTCACCCCAGAGCACAACTCCTCCTTCTGACTGAAGTACAACTGGAAGCGCGATTGTGCATATTCCTGGGAAGGAAAGCCCACCTAAGACACCAGGGAGCAGATTCCTGGGGGGAGCCCCCACCCGACACCCCAGAACTGGAGGCTTCAACCCCCATCCCTAGTCCTAACCTCAGACCCCCAGAACAGGGGTTCCAATACCACATTCTCCAGCTAGGAGCTTACCAAGTAATCAAACTCAATGGTAGACATGATATCCTGGAGGATGGACCATAGTCCCCAGAAGAAATGGGATGCCAGAGCAAACCTGGAGTGGTACAGAACAGATCTCGGTGTGTTGGGTAAGCTGGCTTCCCTTGGCCCCTCCTGCCTTCCATCGCTCCCAGGCCCCCCCCCCCCCCCCCGCGCCCCCCCCCCCCCAGGGCCCCTGAACTTCCTCACTGCTAAGGCCCAACTTCCTTCCCTGATGCTCCTGGACTACAGCTCAGCATCCCTGAGGCCCGCCCCCCTCCCCTCACCTGTTTGCTTCCAAAAGAATTTTCTCTTCCAATCTGGTCCGCTCTTCTGGGGAGGGAGTCTTGTCCCCCTGGATTACTGACAGGTAATTTCGGATGAAATGAAGCTACAATGGGGAGGTCCCATGAATCAGAGAACTTTGGGAGGGCCCACTGCCAACTCATGTCCCTGGTCTACACTGGTCCAGTCCAGTCCAAGCCAATCCACCCAACAAGCATTTGTGACGTGCCTACTACGTGGAAAGCACTGTGACAGCCAGGTGGAAGAATTGAGCTCAAGTCTGGCCTTTGAAAAAGGCTGCTCAAGGGGCAGCTAGGTGGCTCAGTGGATAGAGCTCCAGCCTTGGAGTCAGGAGGACCTGAGCTCAAATCTGACCTCAGACACATGACACTTACTAGCTGGGTGACCTTGGGCAAGTCACTTAACCCTGACTACCTTCCCAAAAAGGCAGGGAAAAAAAAAAGAAAGAAAAAGAAAAAGGCTGCTCAGGCTGCGTGACCCTGGCCAAGTCACTTTAGCCAGCTCTCTAGAGCCTTGGGGCTGTAGGAGCCAAGGTGCTGGGCTGCAGCAACTGATAGAGCTCCCCACCCCCAGGACATCACAGGCCCAGAAAAAATGAAAAAGTAAAGACAAGCTCTCCCAGAGTTCCTTTCAGGGCAGAGGCCTCAGGCTGAACGACCCTGTTTCCCTGGGCCTCCACAGACCTGCTGCTCCCGGCTGGGGTAGTTCCTAGGCTTCATCAGGAAGTAGGGAGACTCCTCAGAGCTGTAGTCATAAATCCACTCACAGAAGTGGTTCCCGATGTCAAAACCCCTGTGGGGAGGAAGTGCAAGGTAGGTGGGTACAGGGGAGAGGGGGAGAAAGGGGAGGTGGGAAGGGCTGCAGGGAGAAGAGCCTGGGGCGGGGCTCCACCCACCTGTAATTGTAGCTGCTGTACTCAAAATCTATGAGCATAAGTCTGGGCTCTGCTTCAGAGAGCAGCAGGATGTTCCCTAGGGTAGGGAAGGGAGACCTCCGTCAGCTGGGGGACAGGCCCAGGACCTCCCTCTGCCGCCCTCCCCTTAACCCGGTACCTTCTTGGATGTCATTGTGACAGAATACCACCGGGGAGGAAGCTGAATCCAGAAGCTTCCTGCAATGGGGGGGACAGCAAGCCTTCGATTGGGGGGAGGGCAGAGATCTCTCCCTTTCTCAAATGCAGGGAGGGTCACTTCTCCCTGCCAGGGCTCCTGTGTCTTGTTTTGGGGGTGACAGAGAAGGGGCGTGCAGCCCGGGGAAGAAAGGAGGAGGAGGGAAGGTGACCACAGCCTTTCCCCAGATGCTTCCCGTTCCCTGCCACACATGGGGAGGGGGCCCCGCCTTAGGACCCAATGCCCACCGCAGCTTGCCCATCTCTTCCTCCAGGTGGTACGTCTGAACCAGATTTTCTTTGGTCGCACTGGGAGGCGTCAACTCCCGGATCTGCTTCATGTATCTGGGCCCAAAGCAAGGGAAGAGAGGGCTCAGGGATCGCCTGTCCCCTTCCCCCCCCAGAAGCCGCCTCCCTTCCCCATGGCCTCCTCTCACCGCTCCATGGTCCCAAATAGCCACCGAGGTTCCTTGTTGAAGGGCATCTCCATCAGATGGAACTGGGCCATTTTGATGGCAATCGCGGCGGACGTCCGAGGGTCCCTCAGCTCCTCTGTCCGAAGCGGCCGGCTCTGTACCCAGCACCCTGTCAGGGGGTGGCAGCCGGGCCAGAAGCCGGAAGGGGGGTGGGGGCGGGGCTCGTGGCAATCAGGGCCAGGCTGGGTTAGGAGCAGGAGGCCAGGGCTTCCCGGGAGAATGGAAGCTCCTTGAGGGCAGGGCCTATCTCTCCGTTTGCCAGGCACATACTTAATAAAAGCTGGTTCGATGACTGAACTCGGATTAAGGGTGGGGAGGAGGGGCAGTAGGGGAGGGGCTTCGTACCGAAACGAATTGCTCCAGCCTCCCTTCAGGGAAGACCCCGTAAAGCTGAGGTCCCAGATGCCGCTCAGCCAGGATGGCAAACATCACGCTCTCCAGGACCAGGGAGTCCACTCCCTGGGGAGAGGAGGAATGCAGGGGCTAGAGGCCCACTCCCTGCCTGCAGCCACACTACGTGCCCCTCCCCGGCAGCACCTTTCTCCCTCCAGGCCCCGCCCACCTGGCCCAGGGCCCCCCCACCTCCAGGATGGCTGCCCCCAGGCCCTCTTCCCCTCAGGCCCCGCCCACCTCCAGCATGGCCGCCCCGCCCCCGGCAGCACCTTTCCCCTCAGGCCCCGCCCACCCGGCCCGTGGCCCCGCCCACTTCCAGCATGGCGGCCCCACCCCGGGCAGCACCTCTTCTCCCAGGCCCCGCCCACCCGCAGGATGGCTGCCCCCAGACCTTGTCCATCCGGCCCATGGCCCTCTTCCCCTCAGGCCCCGCCCACCTGCAGGATGGCTGCCCCCAGACCTTATCCATCCGGCCCACGGCCCTCTTCCCCTCGGGCCCCGCCCCTCCGGGCCCGGCTCACCTGCAGGATGGCCCCATAGACCCTCAGCAGCACGTCCCGGGGCTCGTCCCCGACGAGGGGTATGTCCTTTGGGAGGGAGCATCGGAAGAGCAGGTTGCTGAGCCCCCCGCTGCGGACACGGACACGGACACGGACACGGAGGACGGCTTGGACGGCGGCTCCGAGGCGCCCGCTCCCCCGCCCTCGCTCCCATCTCCTGACCCCCTCCTGACCCCCAGGGCCCCGCCCCCAGCCAGGCTCCTCCCTCTCCACTGCCCGCCAGCCGCTCACCTCACGCGACTCATATGCAGCTCCTCGGGCCGCACTCGGCGCCAGGCGCCGCCCAGGAACTCCCGGCACCACTGCCAGGCGCGTAGCTGGCCCTCCTTGCTCATGGAGGACTTGACCCGGTCCCGCTTGAACCACTTGAGCCCCACGGCCACGGCCCCGCCTCCTGTCGCCGCCATGGTCCGCTCCTCGCTCGGGCTGCGCGCGGCTCCGTCCGCTCGTGCTCGGCTCCTTTTGGCGCCGCCTCCTGATAGGCCGCGCCGGCCGTTAGGCCCCGCCCCCTCCAGGCCCCGCCCCTCCAGGCCCCGCCCCCGGC